GGAAAATGACATTGACCTACTTACAAGATAACAGGGAAAAATATGTCAAGCAACTTCTGAAGAAGAATCAAAAAGCATGGAATCTTATAATAATAATTTGCTGGTAGTTTCAACAGATGGAGCCAACAAAGTTTGCGAGGGAAATATTTTTAGTGCAATATAATATTTAGTGAGAATATTTTGCTATGACTGCTTAAATATTCAGGTGAGCGATACAGGCCCTCTTGGGCCTCTTGTTCTAATTTAGATTGGAGTATCTTTTGGCAAAGGGGACTAGATTTTGTTTAAACAGAGGGTGACGCCTCCCTGGGGGCAGAGGGGTTGGGCTGAACAGGGGAAATAGAGGTTAATCTTTAAAATCCTTTTTTCTACCATAGGGAATAACGGATTTCATCCCAATTTGGTCTTGAGCATCCTTGGGCCAAGGGGACTCGTTTTTGTATAAATGGTTTTTTGGCCCCTCTGGGGGCAGTGGAGCGATAGGGGAAATAGAGGTAAAACATTTAAAATCCTTCTTCTACGGTAGGGATGAAGGGATTTTATCCTAATTTAGTGTGGAGCATCCTTGAGGGTTCAATTTTTTATAAATGGTTGGTTTGGCCTTTCTGGGGGCACATTTGGCTTTGGAGTATCTATTGGCAAAGGGACTCGATTTTGTATAAACAGAGGGTGTGGCCTCTCTGGGGGCAGATTCGTGGGGCAATAGAGGTAAATCTTTAACATCCTTCTTCTACCATAGGGATTAAGGGATTTTATCCAAATATGTCCTCGAGCATCATTGGACAAAGGGGGGAAGATTTTGTATAAACATAGGGTTTGGACCCCCTGGGGCAGAGAGACGGCGCCAAATAGAGGTAAAACCTTTGAAATCCTTCTTCTACCAAAGGGATTAAGGGATCCCTGGGGACACTGATCTGACATCTGTCGTCCGTCCATCCGTCAATATTCTTTTAACGATAATAGTTTTGAATGGCCCAGTAGAATTTGGGCAGAAGGGAAATTTGAGGTTTAAGTGTTTAAGTCTTCAAAATCCTTCTTCTTCTGTACAATTGGAGGGAGTTTATCCAAAGGACCTGTTACAGGAACAAAAGAATTTTGCCCACAAAGCAATTTAACCATTACTGGGTTATATTTGTAGCTCCCTAAGACACGACCCATGAGATATTTTTAAAAAATGAAAAAGGGTCCCAGGGCCTGTGCTATGAACTATTTAGTGATGCCTTCCAAAGGTGTACGACAGGGTTCACTTTTTTGTCCAAAAAACTATCAAAACAATGTTTTACGCTATCAAATAATATTATATTATTTAAAGTAGGATCTGCTGCAAATTATGAACTCAAATAT